AAGAAAAAAATGGAAATACACAATAATTGACACAGTAAACAAGACAACCCAGGTCCAAGTCTATTGATACTACAAGCAATGTGCTCCTGTTCTTGACCATCATTATACAAGAGGATTCTAATGGCATTGTGAAATTACTCCTGAAAGAAATTCAACTTGATTGTTCTAATAGTATTTCTTTATACTGATTATGAGTGTGTATGTAGACATTATTCATCATAGAAATCAGTCTTCTTAAAAGCAAAATAAATATAATAGAAACATGCTGGCAATCTCCTTAAAATAAGCAAATAAGCAGTACTGGTTTGTGTTTTGACAGACAAAGGTGGTAATTGTTTTCCTGTTATAATTACAATTTTAAAATAAATTTATCTCAATGTCATGGGGAAAGGCTACCCTGGTTTAAATGAATATAGCTAAACTCATTCTTATTCTTAATATAAACTTAAGTTGGATTCATACATATTCAAATGTGTATGAATGTATTTATTACTGCAACTTAAAGCAGGAAATTATTAGTGACCAAAATCAAAGTAAGCAAGAGTTAAATTAGTGTAAAATGTTCCTGATTAAGGATGTGCCTCAATTAAATTTTATTACAGAAAGTACTTTCAATTAAGCAAATGCAGCTTTTTTTCAATGCTCAAAAGGTCTATAGAAATACTTTAGTAAATCAATATTTTCTGAATCATTATTATATATTATATATCATAATTTGCATGAAAAAAGAGATCTGTAGAGTGCCATGCACAATTGGGATGGTTTAATGATGTCATCTTTGCATAGAGAAAAGCAATACACTGAAACAGTGGGCTTGGTTTTTTCTTTTCCTGAATATTCCAGCAAAGCTAAGGTAAGGATTGCTAGCAGCTGTAGTTATGAAATTCCCTGTGTGTGCGTGTAGTACAAATAACATTTGAGCAAATCCCAGCTTGTAGACTTCAGCCATTTTCTTGTCACAGCCTACACTCTGGTCTTCCTCATGGGGCACCTGACTTGCACCTGCATTTAAGAGCCCGTGGAAGCAGGCGTCCCAAAGGAGGCACCGAAACTTTTTGCGCAGGCATCGGAGCCGTGTGCCTTTGAGAGCCTCCAGTCCTCCCAACCTGCCAGTCCCCCTAAACTCAGCCAGGAGGGACTGCTCGGCCCTGCCCTCTCTCCTGGAGCTGTTTCTGGGGTCTGAGCCCTTCCCTCAGCGTGCTGCCTCCCTGCCCGTCTAAGGCTGGGGTACGAGTCAGGCACCTGGGGTATGGGAGGGTGGCAGAGGGCAGCTCCCAGCAATGCCTGCTGCAGCTCTCACACTTTGTCTCCTAGCTGCCTCGTGGAGAGTTTGCTGGTGCTCCTCACCCCGACATTCCTTAATCAAAAAGACTTGTCCTAGAGTAAAGGTACTTGTTCCTTCCTGGCTCAGATGGAAACACTACCAAAAAAACAAGGATTCCAGGTGGACCTCAGTTTATCTCTGATGTGCTACAAGCGCTCCTGAGTTTTCAAAGTGCACTGAGGGGAAATTTCAGGGTCCGATTCAGGTCATGGTTTGAAGTAAAATAGATTTTTATTAATAATCGTTACATCTATACATTTGTGGATGTTACCAGTGAAGGCAATAAGAAAAACAACTATAAACTTATAAAAAGAAGCATTTTATTCCTGCCCTTGCCACCACATGTTCTGGAAAGGAGCTATATTGGCTCTTTTTTAGCTAGTAATGTCTAATGCAGGAAGACAGGAATAAGCAGAGTAGAAAGCACCTGTCAGCTCTATTTCCCACTCTCCTTGATTAGCATGAAACATTAATAGGGCTCTCAGAAATTCTGGTCTGAAATGGGCTTTGCTTGAAAACGTGTCTGCCTTTACTGCACAAAAGCTGCTGTCATTAAAAAAGGGCAGATAACTAAAGAAGACTCTTTCTTGAAATTTATACCATTTTTTCATACAATGACAAATTATTTTAATAATAGGAATCGCACACTCTGCCATTTGTATAATGTTTCCCATAAAATTCTCCCATTAAATTTGCTCTTCTACTTGACTCATATCTTTTTAAAAAAATGACACACACAAAATGATACATCACACATTCTTACAAAGAATTGGAAGTGAACATACTGTAATGGGTTAACATACGTTTTAATAAAATTTTCATTGTTGCACATTTCACTTTTCGGTACTGAGAGCCAGGGCTGTACCAGTAACCCCAGGCAATGCCTAAGGATAAAACAAATCATACGGTAGTGAACTATTTTCACCTATTTATCCTTCTACTGAAAATATATTCATAAATACAAAATGAAGCTAAGATACGTAGCCAGTAACATTACACATAACAAAGATATTCCCTAGTATTTTTATTCTATTATTTTTTAATAATGTACCTTCTGCATTTCTGAGATACTTCAGCTTCTGTTTTTATTCCTTACGTATCTTGTAAGGCACCAAACCATTTTAATTTTTGTCTCCCCAAAATGGGCAGTAACAAATATTTTAATCTATGGACTGGAATCCTATTGCACAATCTATTATAGAACATGCACTAAAAGTCAAAAATATACACAAGTCTATTTATCTAGCAAGTGGAGTTTTCTGAAAAAGAAACTTTTGATTTGTGGCATATGTAGCTTTATTTGCATGTAGACAGACAATCTGCCTTAAAAGATCTGTGTAATCAAAAACGTTCCCGTACACATCAGCATATTAACTACATGCTAGATGGAGTTATCT